TAAAAATCAAAGAAGAAAAATAAATAAATGTGAAATAATCGTAAACAACAGCAACACTCCTAAAAAACGGGTTACTGATACCGTTATATACATTTAATGTTATTTCATAATTTTACGATGTTAAATTTAAAATTGAATTTTTTTATTTTTGTTCTTGTTTTTGTTTTTGTTTGCTATGTATTTTTTTCTGTTTTTTTTTGTTTTGCCTTTTATCTTGTATAATATTTTAAAAAAATAAATTAGTCCTGAATTTTTTATAAAAACTATGAGTTTATCTAAGAAATTAATTTTTTTTTTAAGATAATGTTGTAAATAAAAAAATTCTGCAATCCTAGCTTCGTATAAATATTTTTAGCTTAGATATTCGACGGGTTTAATTAAAATTACATAAAAGGGCTCAATATTTTAAATATTTAAACCATTCAATTTCTTCATTTTTCAAAGTATTTTGTAAAAAATTTAAATTTTAAAATTAAATATAATTTTTAATTGTATTTTGAAGTGCACTGTATGTAAATACAATGCCTACTCAATTCAATATATCAAAACTGGAATAAAAGACAAAAGCAGTACATACATTTAAATCCGTTAGTTAATCCGTTAGGTAATTTTAGAAAATATTGTCAACAAAATACTTATGCTTAAAGATTAGTCTTGCAAAATGATGTTTTTAATATTTATGGTATACTTATTTTGAAATTAAAATGCATATAAAACTAATTTTCAGTTGACATTTGTAATTGTGCTCAATATTTATATTATTTACGTATAATATTTCTGTCATGTCACATGAAAATGTTACAATATGTATGTAAATATAATTGTAATAAATATAAATACTTATTACATAGAGAATTCAATAAAATTTTGATTAAAATTATTGTGGCAGTGTATTTATAGACTATTGTGGCAGTGTATTACATAAAAATCCATTTACTAAATTTGCAATATTTAATTATTATTAGTTAATTTGTATAATTTATGTATGTAATACATTATATTTGTAATATTATTTGCTATTACAAATATTTGAAGTAAGACTTTTTGATTATGGAATAAAAAATTGTTTAATGTAGTGGAGCAATGAGAATGTGAAATTAAAAATCGTATAAAAGTGTTACTGTTCAGTTTTTCCGATACCAAATTTAATGTAGTACAATGTTGTAGTACAATTTACAAAATTTTTTAGTTTGTTGTTTTAATCTAGAATTTTTTATTGATTTAAATAAAACCTTGTAAATAAAATTACAATTTAGTTACAAATATTATTTGAGCATTGTTTGGGAGCTCATTTTTATGTATGAAATCGTATATACATATAAATATGTTACATTGCGTGCTCGTATTATTTTATGCTCATTATAGTACGATTTTTATTAAAAACAAAAAAAAAATTAATAACAAAAATTAAAGTTTAGTTATAATAAAAACGGTGCAAAACAAAAAAAATGTTATTTTTATCGTTATAATTATAAATGTTTTGCTGTTATAATTATTAATTATAAAAATTTTAAAAAGTTAACAATCTCAAATGGTGTTTCTAAAACTGTATAATTAAATTCAAAAATATTCTATTAGATCTTGTTTTTTATGTTTTTACAGTAAACCATGACTACTAATTCCGATATGTTCGGCATAAATCTCTTTTTCATCGAATTTATTTATTGAAGGGTATCTATCGTACCTAATTCATTCGATTAGAAATTTATTTTATGGCAATGTACAGTTATTTTGCTATTATTTTGTCCAACGAATAGCGACTAATACAAAAGGCAATCACACACGTACGAACAATCGATTCATAATGGAAAATGAATAACAAATTAATTACTCAAGCAAATTATATTATTTTTTAATTACCCTTACACACATTATGAAATTTTAATGCATTTTCAAGCTTTTTTGTTCGAATTAATTTTAATTGACTGAATATTTTATTTTAATTAGATTTTTTTTATTTAAATTTTTGAATGATTTTTGAAAATTACAATTAACCTTTTTGCATTTTGCTTTGACAAATTGCAACATCACACACATGACAAGGTCTTAACTTTGAATTTAATACAAAAATGGTAATTATCAAAAACTAAAACATAAAATGACAAAACAAACAAAAAAAAACGTATTTTATATCTGTCAAATGACTTAAGTGATGACATTGACAAAGTAACTGATAATTTTCATAATGTTGCAAAATAGAAATTATACCAACTGTCAATGAAAAGGTCTTTGTTCGCAATGCATTTCATGACGAAGAAAAAAATTTTATGGTTTATACAAGTTTATTAAATTGATTTTTTTTTAAAATTGTATTACTGAAATTTTTAAAAATGATAAGTAAATTTAAGAACAATTCAAATATATATAGTACCCTATACATGTGTGTATTTAAAATAATAATTAGAAAATATGTTAAGTCCAAATGCAGAATGAATGATTAATTGTGCTTAAAATTGTAGTTTTTTAAAAACTTAGACAAAATATTCGTTTAATTGGTCAAAAATTGAAATATCATTAAAATCGCATCCATTACTACTCTGTATTTTGGTAACAAATGTGCCTACATTATAATCTACTATTGTAAGTTATTTTACATCGAACGTCAATTACAGATCTGGCCAAGTTTATGTTTTATCCATGTTAATCCGAAAACAAGATCATATTATTAAGTTTTTGCATAATCAAAAAAAAAAGCTATCTGCATGACAAGATAAGGTATGTGTTATTCTCAACAGCAGGTTTTATCCCAAAAGTGCACTACAACGGTAAATATGGACTCGTAATGAATATATTTCAACACATAGCTACATCGCCATTTGGATTTTCAAATATATTTGGTAATTGTGTCTTTGATTTAAAATTCAATTTAATTAATCGTTAAAATAAGAAATAAAATTCATTAGAACCCAACACTGTTTTTTTTATAGTAAATGCCGACTTTTTATTTTTCAAGATTGCAATCGATTATATTATAAGTTTAATATTAGAACTTCACTTGTGGGAACACCTTTTACATAGTAACGAATCACGATTTATTTGCTTTTCCCTTTTAAAAAGTCTTAACTTCGGACTGACTTTGTACATATGCATAAATAAAACTGAACAAATATTTTGAGCAAAAACATTGAAATAAAATCAAAATTTATTTATGTACGTATGTATGTAAGCAAAAACAATGTTAATTATCACATGAATGAAGAATTTTTGTCGTTTTCAATAAACCTATTTCAATTTTTTATACGCTTAACCAGCTTACGTATCCTTCAACTTTAATTCTATTTTTCTATTCAAATACAGCAGTAGATAATTCAAATAGCAGTAAATAATTGTTATGGTATTTGACTGCTTTTTATTAACGCAATAGTACAAGTTTCAATTAATTTTAATTTATGTATACCCTATTATTCAATTTCTATATATACACAAACACAATTTGAATTTTAGAGTTAATTGACATCTTAACGGTTGAATGAATATAACAACTAATTTGTGTATTTTGTCTAATATCTTTGCTACGTTTATTCACCTATGCATGCATTATTGTAATTCGGAGTTGTACTTGCAATGGTGTGCTTTGAAAAACTTTTTCATCGGCATCGAAGTATACCTATTCTTCTTTAAATCTAATTGCTAAGAAAGAAAATTTCCTTTGATTGCGAGTCAAACGTAGAGGCAACCGGATTGAATAATCAAACGAATTTTTCTTTCCTTACGGAACTCCTTTCGTCTATTTGGGTTTGGAAGAGAAATTTCCGTAAGAGCAATTTTACTTTAAATTAGTTTATGATGAAAATTATAGTTATTTCTGATTACTTTAGTTCCATCTATTTGAAGCATATTCCCTAGCATAGTTCTACTTTTCCGTTTATATTAATTCTAAAATTATCGATTCAAGTTAATTTCCAAATTATGCTACCTTTTGTGTTCAAGTTTCATTTTTTAAACTAATTTGCTTGTCATTGTATTCATAATATAATGTCATATTTCAGACAATAGAAAATAAATATTTGTGAAAAAATTACAAAAATTGGGAATATCTTTTTTAAAACTGAGTATCTTGCCTTAAGCGTGTAGCAATTCATACTAAAGCTAATACTTTTGGGAAATTTTCGCAATTGCGAAGAGAAGAATAACAAATGAAACAAGTAGATATCCAAAATTTCCAGAAAGGTTTTATATAATTCTTTCAATAATCTTCAAAAATAGCGAAATAAAAATTGGAAAAAATATGATTTTAACTCGGCTATTTATATTTATTTCAATTTTAATTAGCTATATTGTTGGACACCTTACAGTTAACTTATACGTAATACAAAAAATTTGAAAATTCATACTGTAAATGTCATACTGCCACTAAAAAGAAGATACACAGTGAAACCTACACGTAGATTAATAAATTAAACAATATCAAACTACAGTAAGTTATAAAAAAACCAAACAAAATTCCTATAAGTTGGAAATTTATTAATTGCATTGCGGCAAGCAAATTTTTAATAATTTAACGCAACATTTCTGTACAATATTTCATCACTTTCAATTACATATATCGATATAATTCTAAGCGCAACTTAACTCCAACCAAATTAATTATCCTTTCAAATTTGGTTTACATAAGTAATAAATTCTAAAAATTAGTTATAAAAATTGTAAGAATTTCCTAAATGAATAATGTTATTTACTATAAATTTGTTAAAATGTGGGAAAAGAAAATTAATTTCCCTTATTAATAGCATTAAAATGGTTAAAACTTGTAAGCACTTATTTATATTAAAAATAAATAATAAAAGTTTTGGGAACACTTGTTTTCTCAATTATAATTTAATATATTTGCCAAAATTTTTATTAATTAACACTAAAACTATAAAAATTTTGTAATTAAAATTTGCACTTAAAATGTATACTTCAATTATTTACCGTTACTTATTAATGTTATATAGAAAAAAAAATAAAAATTAAATAAATTAAAAATTTCAATATTATAAAAAAAAATTAAAACTCACTTGTTGTCACGACAAGTAATGCGGCTGCAATGGCACAAATCACGAATTTCTTCATTATATAAACTTTATTAAAGTTAAAAAAACAAAAAAAAAAACAAAAAATTTCAACTCGTTTTTCTTTTTTAATCGAATTTTGCTTCTGTTGTTGATTGCTTTGCCGTTATTTTTATTTAGTCTTCTCTCTTTCTATCCTTATTCTTCTCCTTCTTTCCTTTATACTTGACAAATTTTAAGTACTTATAATATTTTTTTTTTGTTTTTTTTCTTTCTTAATTTTTTTATTTAATTTAATTTAGGTTTTCACTTTCTTTTAAATAAAAATTAAAAAAAAAATTTCTTTTTCTAAAAAGTAAAAATTTCAATTGTGATGGCGGCGAGTGAATAATAAAAATTTAAGTGAATTTTTTTATTTTTTTGTCAATTCGCTTTAAGTGTGTATGCAAACAGAGAAGGGAAAGTTTAAGCGCACGGTTTTTTTCCAGAACTGTTGGAATTTTATTAAAATTTTCAATTGATTTTTAGTGTAAGACTTTAATTTTTCATTTATTTTAGTTTTGCGTTTTGGGGGGAAAAAAATTAAAAAAGTAAGGAAAAAAAAATTTTTTTTTACACAAAAACAAAAAAAAAATCCACCTAAAAGAAATATAACTAATCTCTTCGATGGTTTTACTTAAACTACAACCGGTTGCCCGTTTGACTCTCACTTTTGAAGACTCCCTTCTACCCAAAAACATACAAAAAAAATTGCTGATTTGGTTTATTTTTTTCTTGTTTATTTTTACTTTATTTTCAGATTTTACGAGTTTTTATTGTTTATTGTATGCTTTTTACATATTTACATATTAATGTCTATAAATATGTGTACAAACGAATTGGTACACAAAATATACACATATATATACGAACGTATTAATATTAAAAAAAAAAATGGAGACAAAGTAGGTACCTAAATATTAAAAAAGAAAAAAAAAATCATCACATAACCAGAGTTGAACATTAAGCATTACTTAATGATCTGCTTTTTTTTGTGTATTTTAACGGTATATTTATGTATAAACGAGTATTATAAAGATATTATTAAAATTTATACATAAAAATATAATGATTAACAATAATAACATACTGTATAAGTTCAACTTTTTAATAATTGCTTGGCTGTTTAGATAAGTTTTAAGCTGGATTCATTGGTTCGTCGCTTTCGCGACGAGCTGATGTATTTTGTATGAAAATTTGAATTTTTGACATTCTCTTTAATTTTAGTATAGCTTTTTTTCTCTCTCTCTGCGGAGGTTTTTTAAAACGTCAAATTTACGTATACTGAACTATTACAATTACATATAATTCTTGGCAAAAAAGTAATAAATGCATCATAATAAAAAAAAAACTATCAGCTTTTTTCAGACGAACCAATGAATAATCAAGAGAAAAAATAGTTGGACTACAAATAGCTCAGCTTAAAAACGGCGAACCAAGAAATCGAGCTTTAGATTTAAACAAAAATCAAAGCGTAAAATTAAACAAAATTTTATTTTAAATAAAAATTTTACAATTTCGGAACTCATCACTGATTATACCTTATTGTTCAATTACAGTAATGCAATGTATTTATCTCATAAAATATTAAAAACGATACATTCCTGGGACCCAATGTTTTTCGGTAAAAAAAAAACTTTCATAATTTAGTTTTATATGAACATTGTCATTAATCTACCGAAATATATCATCATTGCATACATTTCGGATGAAAACAAAATTTAAAAGAATGATTGACATGGTGGTCAGACATAAGACATATTTACCGTTAGGTTTTTGCTTTTATTTTGAGCAGAGGTAGAAAAATTTGGTTTCAATTTTAAACAGTTAGATAACAAATTTTGAAAACATAATGGACGCGAGCAAAACCATAATTTTGAAAATTATTTTTTATTCTGAATTCTTAGAGTAGTACAGTTAAAGTAATTTATGCATCACAGTAAACAGAAGAATACTCTACTTTAACACTCAAGTTAGTAATCAAGTGAATTTAGTTGAATCGTTTCTAAATATGATCCAAGTTCAAGTCATTGTAATATTGTCTACTTAAATTTCTCATGTCCCATGTAAACGTAGTAATAATTTAAATAATTTTTTTTTTGTTTTGTATAAGCTAAAATTCATGTTACTTCACAATTTTTGTTTTTAATAAAATCTGTAAAAATATACGCGATACCAATTGTCATGTTATCTAAAAACAAATGTGAAAAAAAACAAAGATATAAAAGCAAAAAGGAAAATTTTATAAAGAAGAAGAAAATGGGTGGGGTGGGTGTATACACGAAAGGATCATTTATTTTTAGGATGTGTATAAGTCTACAATGTTATGTACCTATACGTATTATATAAAATTGAAAAAATTTTGGTGCGGCAAAACTTACATATACTTACTTTTCTCTTATTGATTTTTTCAATTTATTAAAAGATTTACGAAAACAGAAAAAAAAAATTGGGGAATTGGGAAATAAGAGTATTACAAAAATAAAAAAAATATTTATTAATTTTCAAAGGTACTTAAATTGATGTTGGATTTTTAATTGATATTGGATTCATTCATTTCGAAATTAATTTACTTTAGAAATGGTAATTTGAATATTTTTTTTTAATTTGAAATCTACGATTATTGCTTATTAATTATACAGATACTAAGTCCCTAATACCGCAGCAGGGTCTCAACATCAATATTAAGTAATTAAGTAAATAGATGAACGTTTTATTCATTTCTAAAAAAATCAATTAATATTCAGTTTTGTCAAAGAATACAATTTATAAAAAAATGTTAACATTATCCAAGGCTATTGTTTATTTGTTTTCAAATCGAGCTGAAAACACCCATACCAAAATATGTATAGAACAAGTAAAAAGGTTTCAGTCGGTATAAACCCACTAAATAACACCCTACATTTGACAACCTAGATTTAAAAATTTGTTTTTGAAATATTTACAAATAAGTTTGATTGGTAAATGACAATTACTTGAACCTGTCAAACCACTCAATTGAAACTTCACAGATAGTGTGTCCTACCTGTAAATGGACAAACGACAAATTCATGAAACTAGCCTTAATATTTTTCCAAATATTTAAAATTAACTTTCGGTGTTGTATGACTGCTACCTGAACCAGTGCAGCCGTTCCATAACAATTTTCAGAATATATGTAGAACATGATTGGACACGTTTACAAAATTTGATATTAATACCTTTATAAGTTTTTGAAATATTATTAAAGGTAATAATATCAAAGTCACTTCAAGTCGTATAGCGAACACTTTGTCAGAATTGGTCGGATTTCAATAGCAGCCGTCGTTGGCACAAAGGAAAAAACTTGTGAAAGTTTGGTGTTGATTGCATTATTCTTTTTTGAGTTATGAAATCAACGCAAATATTTCCGTTCACAAAATTTTAAGTGTTAAGTTTAAGTTACACAAAAGACAAGAATTCTTACGTATTCCAATGATGACACTGACAGTTTTCAAGAGAATTATTGCTATACGCCATACGGTATTAAATTCATTTTTGTTAATGAAGAAATTTGCTTAAAAAATTTAACAAATTAATTTTTTAAGCATATTTGTTAGTTTATCAAAATTTAATCTGAGTCTAATGAAAGTCGTATATATAAATCCTTTTTAACATCTGACTTTGTTAAACGGCAAATAATAAAAATTACTTAATTCTTATCAGATTTACCGTCAGAATTTTTAGAAACAAAATGGTGACCATTTATTTTTTGTGTAAGTTTTGAACAGCGATCAGTTGATTTTGGTTTTTATTATAATTTTTGTAGGTAGCAAATTGAAGAAACTCGACGTAAAGTCCGAAATAATTGGAAGTACCATTTTGAGTGTATTGTGCTCTTTGTTAGAAGTATCTGACTAAAAACCACTGAAGGAGATGTGGTTTTTCTTTAGAGAAGTAGAACCAAGTTGTACTGTATATGCCTATCAACAAACCTGAAATAGAATTAAATATGAACGGCAAACACGGTAAATTCTCAAGGTATCCAATAATTTTTATTATTCTTGACTTATCATACACATTATAAATATAGATAAATTTGTGAAAATAACTGTCCGTCTATGCATCCGTTTACAAAATTTCTGCACTCCGTAGGATGAGATGCTCAAATTTTAAGTAAAAAAGAAGTTTTGCTTGAAATCTAATTCTTTAGAAAAAAAAATTATGCTGCACCACTTTTCCCTTTAAAATCCGTATAACCTTTAAACGCCGTTTTTGACTATTTATTGTACTAAAACCATGAATATTTTTAAAATTTTTCAATAGCCGGAAAAGGAGAGTTTGCTTGTTCTACCCTTAAATAGCAAAGAAAAAACATTACAATCTTAAAATGGTCAGTGAAATTTACTATTATCTTACACCAACTTTTTTTCAAATTTTTAGATTTCCTCACGTAAATAGTTGTTGAATTCGACAATTATGTTAAACTTCCCCTAATTTTTGTTCTCATACAATAATAACTGTTAATTGCAAGAAATGATTTTGTTGTAGAAATAAAAATCGAAAATTTTTTACTTGTTCTATGGAAATGTTGCTACTACACAAACCATTGATTGCTTTAATCCGAATTTATTTTTTGTTTAATTTTAAAGTACCCCAGGTTATTTACATACATATATAAATATAAAAAAGAAAATGTAGTATGTAAAAAAAATTCGGCCCAATAGTTTTTTGACATTTTTAATATGACACTTTCAGCATGACAGAATGAAATTTTAAGTAAAATTAAGAAATGTCAAAGATGAAGGAAAACAATTTTGTTTTGTCTAATAAGATTGTTTTACTTTTAAATACCAATTATTTAATTTTAACCGGACCAATAAAGATTAGGGTAAATTTTTAACCAGTTTAGTAAAATTTTGAACTTTAAGAACAAATTAAAGAGTCGAATTTTTAACTCTTATGGTTTTGTATGCAAATAAAATGAATTAAATTTGAATTACAATGAATAATGTGAATTTTACGAGCTCGCATTCACGTGTAAAAATACGTACACATGCATACATACATACATACATACTTACATACATATATATAGTTATTTTATTTATAGAAATAGAAAATTATTTAATCGTCGTTTAATTTTGTACAACGTTGTGTTCAAAAACCTCAGTCCTTACCTCTTTTCCTGTCATGCATAACAAAAAAATTAATACAAAGCTAAAATGTATGTACGAAGTAGAAAGAGATAAAGAAAAAAAGATCTCAAAATTTAAGCTTAATTTTTTTTTGTTTTTCTTTATAATTTGAATTTGTTGTTTAAATTGTTTTTAAAATTGAGCGAAATTTGAAAGTTATAATAAAAAATTTGAAGAAAATTATTTGATTATTAAAATAATTCGTGGCTTAATGAATAATATTTTAGGATACTTCCCAACAAAATTTGAAAAAAAATGTGCTTAATGAACGTGCCTGTACACTTTTAATGATAGAAAGCTATAATTTTATCGAAGAAAATTTATCTCTTGCCTATTTCCTTAGAAATACGAGTATGTTAATTTTTAACAATTGCTTCTGGTCTTTGTAAAAAATTGTTCTAAGGAACCTCACAATTACGAAATAGCAATGGAAATAGGAAACCGACTTCAATAAGAATTTGTAAATTGTCTGAAATTTAAT